CTAATGTCTGCAATGATGTGCCGAATGACCAGAATATTCCGGAAGGCGTTCAACTCAATTACGAGCAGAACTTTATGGACGCGATGCAGATATTGCCTAAACTGCCAAAAGGACTCGACGTTAACGTTAGATTCTCCGGGTATTACATGATTGCATCCATTGTCACAAATGAGCCATTATTTACTCAATCATTATCTGTTTCTCTAGTGTATCGGACTTTGAATATACGCCCGAATGCATTGTCTTTGATTTACTTCACATTCCTCTATACCACGGATGGCTCGTCGACCCAACCGACGGCCCATCGCTGGCAGCCATTGGGAACTGTAGTTATAATCAATTAGTCGATAAAATTATTAATAATAAGACTTCATTACACCCACAACTTGTGACCGATGGTTAGAAAATACAATTGAATACAAACCTCGAGTGTTATTAATTGATTAATTTGTTATTCAGCACTAATCGCCGAAGAGTTCTTAGAGAACAGCGCTTCGCAACTGACTAATTATGGTCTCCAAGAACTGGTTAATCATCTCAAAGAACAAGAATTATGCGTTTTGTTTAGGAATAATCATTTCATAGTTTTATACAAACATAAGGTTTGCTGCGATTTGAATATATTTGACAAAATAATTAACTCATAAGTGATGTATAAATTGCAGAATCAATTGTATCAACTCGTGACAGACCAGGGATTCATTATTGAGAATAACGTGGTTTGGGAGACACTAAACAACATTGAAGGGGACACTCAGTTCGTCGACGGAGACTTTGTTTTGGTTCCCCCGAAGCCGGCGCTCACGACACCCGTTGTTTCTCAACAACAAATAGATCAGGAGTTAGTTATCACTCATTCATGTTTTAATGATTGCTTTTATCATTTGTTAAAATATCTGTTTTCAACAGTTATTTAGTGGCTCTTAGTCTTCAAGAAGAACATAAGCGTCAAATTGAGACCAGCAAAGAATGGGATCAGTTTAAGCACGAGTCAGGTATGGAAGGGCTCACTGACGAAGAATTAGCCAAACGATTGCAAGAAGAAGAGGACAAACGATACGCTCAAATGAGACAGAATGAAGAGCAACAGCCGCAGCCACAACCACAACAACAACCGCCACACCTTAGAGGCGCTGTCGTTCATCCAAACAGTCAAAACATTAGTCTTCAGCAAAGAAGAAGCACTAATGGCAGCTCTGAGGACAGCGAGAACGACGGCTCAAACAAGAGTAAAAGCAAAAATGTGAGTCTCATTGCAATCCATTTGATTGAATACTGACAATAAAATGCAATTCTCGTTCACCTTTAGTGTACTATCATGTGAAATATGGGACAACAATGTGGACGACATTCCTGTCAGTTAGTGAAGAGTTTTGGTGATATATAGAAGATGAGAACCACTGCCGGAGTGTATGCATTGATACACTTATTAAAGTCAACACATTTTATCAAATGAATACAAATGTAAAAATAATTTAGTGGACAAACCGTTTAGTTATGATTGATGTAAATATTGATTATTTATAACACGAGCGGACAGAGCAGATAAAGTGTGCCTTTTTTCGGGACTTATAGTTTTTAATTGTGCCTCAAATTCAGGTTTAATTCACTCTTTTACGACATTTATTGATTTTCTGAGAGTTTATAAACTAATTATAGTTAAAAAAAATCATGCATTCATTACTATTACTCCTTATTTTGAGAATTTTTAAACAAAAACATTTCTATGATAATGGTTTTATTAATCTTTATATTATATGATTATTACATAATATAATTCAGTGAATAAGCGCTTCAAATATTGACTTTAGTATAAATACATAAAATTCTTCCGTTAATCATGTAATTAGTAAAACTTTTTTTCTCAAATCAATTACTATTTGTTAAATCACTGCTCGCGAAGAGACTTCTCATTTACATTCAAGTTATCCGACTGTGTATTAGAAGCGACCGCTGCCTGAAGTGGACGGGCTATCAGTTATAGAATTGTATTATTAATTAAAAACAAGTTTTAATAAATAAATACTAATTAATAAATTATAACAATGAAAAAGATCACAAACTTTGACACAATCCGTCATAAAAGGTGATGTCGTCCAAAGCGAACCCGCCGTCTGAGGCCTCGCCTTCAAACTGGATCTGAATTTTGGTTCATATGTTATATTGACTGTCAAATGGCATTAGTGTTAAGGTCTCACCCGATAAGGTATTTCCGAATTGATGGCCAACTGGCCGTATATCCATTCCGGGCGACTCGTATCGAACCTTCTCGTAGACATTCTCCACAACAAGTTTTTTGTTTCAATAGTCAATGCGTTTTGTCCCCTCTTATCGGCCTCTTCTGGAGGCGCACCCCCTTCTGCGTTGTCTTGAGTTACCATCGATACACTCATTAAAGTTGTTTCGCCTCTATTTTAATTATAACCAATTGTTTTCTAAATTAAAGTAATTGTGATAATTAATAGCAAACCTTCCAAAGGGTGTGAACCAAAAACTTAAACATTTTGGAACATTCCCTTCCCCTCCGGGAAATTCTGGTGATCTCAGGACCGGGTATTGCATTGAGTTCTGGTTAAACACATCGAAAAACAAATATCCGGCTATAATTGAGAGCAAATATACAATACATCGATTCGGACAATGATCTCGTGGTTACAAACTCGGAGCTCTAAATGTGTGGTCTTGAAGGTTGGCGGGTCTGCTCGTAGGTGTGGCCAACTTCCACGTCAACGACTCTTTCGATGAGACCGATAATCTGTTCAGTGATTGTCTTTTATTGGATATAAGCGCCGCCTTTGCCGGTGACGGCGAGAACTGTGCCACTTCTGGCGGACCCGTTCCCGACTGGTTTCGGTAACCGCACAGATCTCTCTCGAAAGAGCACTCACCCATCACTGCCGCCGCTTTGGTCGGTTGAGCTGATGGACAGACAGTATTTAATATATAATTTGGGTCACTATTAATGCCGAGGATTACATACGCGCGCAGTTGCCGTCGAAGAAACTAACGTCATCGATAGCAATGGTTCCAACCTTTTAATCAAATAGATTAGTATTTTGTCATTGAATGTCATTAAATGTGATGAAAGCAAAGTACCCGTCCGTCGCCCCAAATGCCCTCAATTAATATCTGATAGGTCTGTAGCGGAGGTTTCTTTTCCAATCCTATTGTGAGCGGAACTTTTGCTGGTCTCCAACCCTTTAAGACAAAATGATGATAAAGACAAAGCACCCAATGTGTGTGGTGTGTGTCAATGGGATGTACCTGTGCCTGATGGTTGTTTAAACGCCAAACTAAGTTCAATTGCTCTCCACTATCGCTGAGAGTTTTAATATAGACTCTGAGACTGCCGAGACTGGGCCCGGCCGGGTCTATAGTCCTTTCAAACATGTAGTAATAGAAAGACAAACACTTGGGTGTTGTGGTCTGTGGTGTAAATTCTGGACTCAATAGCCAGGCTCTGGTGCCACCCCTTTGGGGCTGCAGTGCATCGCCGCTCAGATTTATGAAATAACCTAAAAGTATGACATTTATAATGGGGTGAAAATATTTATAATAACAGCTCCAAAATTCACCTTCGGGTGTTTTCTTGGTGTGATCGTATTTAGGACCCGTCCCGCCAAAGCTGTATTGTCTGAGCCAATCAAAGTCATCGACACGACTGTGTGGCAGAGGGTTGTGCCACAAACACATGTTCTCCTCGAAAGTGCAGTCACCGCTTCCTCGCGAAGCCGTTTGAGGCGAGACTGCATTAGGAATACAATTGGAAAATGCATTATCAATGATAATATGATGAGTGGTGGGCAGTGACATACTGGGACAGGTGCCAATTTGAAACGATAAGTTGTCAATCGCTATATTTCCCAATGAATTCTGGCCTATAATTCCTTCGATAACGACCTAAGCATTCGTTTGTTTTCAAAAAGTTTTGTTTCAATTATTTATTCTCAAAACGATTTCAATAATTTACATGAAAGGACTGCGCGGGTGATGAGACGGGCACCTGACCCAAGTACCAGTTATTTCCGGCCTCTCCTTTTATTTCCCACACTATCTTTTCGGGTCTTTCCTCATCGCCGGTATACCGGAGTCTAACTCTTAAGACTCCGATACCATTTCCGTACATATGAGTCGCGAATTTCATACACAATGGATTGCTTTCATCTGATAAATCAAAGAAAGCACTCATTTTACATGTTTTAAAAGATTTAATTGTAAAAACCAATAGTGAATACCTGTTGGGTTCATAAGAGGGCTGACGAGCATTGCTCTGTCACCCGGTCTTCGGGGGAACGAAGACTCAATGTATACGAAACCTCCCGACTGTTCATTTTGGCCAAAACTTGTGAAATCACGCGACGGACCCGTGAATATATTTTGCGAGCCTTTCAATACATCATAAATATTTGTGTTTATCTTGTGTTTAACTCAAGTCATATCATACCTCTGCCGAGAGTCCAATCAAACTCATCATTTTCCTCCTGATTAGTCCATCCGCAAAGACCCCCTTCGAAAGTGCAGTGACCTATAGATCGCACGTTTAGTTTCATTACTTGTTTAGTCATATTCTGTGTGCAGACCTTTGCACTGTTCCTCTGCCTCATCGATGGGCTGGAACTGGACGTCATCGACGGCTATATACCCCCTATAGGCCCGATCTGAGTCGTCCAACTTCTTGGATAAGGCTTTCAAAACGATCTATAAATATAAGTCAATAATAATGAATTGTAAACTACATTCGGCTCACAATTATTTGTGCAATTGATAAATAACTATAATAAAATTCTCTCTTTAAAAATTGAATGCATTTTTATGTGCAAATAATATAAAATTTTTATTACGATATTATATTTTAAACTTTATAAATAATTAGTTGTGAGAGAATTGGGAATGGGGCTGACTTTTATTCCCGTCGGTCCGCCGATAAATTTTACATTTATATTTTATATGTGTAGTCAATGTAGAATTCATCACCGAGTTGGAATCGACAATTTAAAATGTTTCACTCGAATATTTTTCGAGTTATTTGACTTTTAAAAATTTTATAAAATTTTTTATTGAAAATATTTTAATATGATATATGAGTTCGATGTGAGTCCGATTCCAAATTTGATGTTTAAAATATTCTCTCCAATATATTTAAAGTTATTTAAATTTTAACATTTTAAAGTTGAATAGTTCAAAAACGATAAATTAATTTTGGAAGTGATTCTATAACGGTAATATTAACCAGCGTTAAAATTTACATCAAACTCACAAATCATATCAATAAATTCAGTCACTTTAAAATTTTCGATAAAATTTATTTAAGTCGAATAATTCAAAAAATATACTAGATGAAACATTTTAAATTGTAGAATTCAAATTCAGTGATAAATTCTACATTGAACACATATAAGAATATAAATATAAAATTTATCGACGGACCCACGGTAATAAAAGTGAGCCCCTAATGAAATACCTTATGGACGGAGCCATAAGTATAGGCCACTTCGCCCCTAACCCACGTGCCTTCCATTCCTTCACTGCTTTGCCAAATCGTACGATCACTTCCCGTCTCAACATCTCTCAAATGAATCTGAAGGTTATCCGCACTCAAGCCATCGATTGCGTAGAAGAAACTCAAACTACCGATTCATAGCATATGTTATAGTGTTTTAAAAGAATAAATGTGAAAGTGGTGACTGACCACAAGCCATTAGGGCCGGTGTCCGATATATTGGGTCCCTGAAAGTTAGCAGAGTTGGGCACTGGAAGCTCACTGTTTGGCTCCGATGACATCGGATGGAAAACCGGGAATTTATTAAGAAGTGGTCGAAGTAATGCATTTCCAGAGGAAAACTTAGACGAACCGAAACTGGAAGTGTTGGATGCGTTTGGAGTATCACTCAATAGTGCTGGACCTGCGCTGGCAATGGGTTGGTGTGATGTTTCAAAGTATATGTAACCACCTTTTCATCATTTTAAACAATAAGTTTTGTATTAATTTGTAAAATAATTGACAAATATTAATACAGTTAACTGTAAATATGACTAGAATTTTAAAATATTTACCGCTGGTATCGGCGAGTGTGTGATCATTGCGAGGGCCGCCCATCCAATACGCCTGAGCGCCCTGACCTGTCCTCCATCTGAGCTTTGGATGACTGTCTGGGGGAACAATCCAACCGCAGGTCTGTAGTAGAGAACCCGATCCAAAGTCACAGATGAGCGCTCGGGCGACCTCTTGGCCTAAACATAACAACACATATAAAGTGACGATAAAATTAAACTCAATGTTTCAAACCTTCTTCATCTTGTCTTTTGACTCTTTCTAAAAAATCATTTTCAGTAAAACTATCACTTGAATTGATTTGTTGAATATAAGCCACATTTAAATATTGATTCAAAATAATTGACAAAAATATTGTTATATGTAACTTTAAATAAAACATTTTTCTATTTTATGTTTTAATTTAATCCGTGAAGTGATTTAAAACATTTTTATTAAAGTCATTCAAATAGGATTCAAAACTTGATTTCATATTAGAAGTGTTGTGTTAATTGTAATGTCATTTAAATCATTAATTGAAAGTTTGATAAAAATTTATATATATTTTTGCACAAATATGCAAAGGAATCGTGACGTGAAAACTAATTACAATTCATAACTTGTTTCGATTAATACAAGAATTTAAAAGTAAAACAAGAATTTTTTGATTTCTTTATTGCTCTTAAAGTTTGCGAAGAATTTAAACAGAAATATATCTGAAATGTATATACAATTTGAGATACAATTTTCAATTTGCTTTCTATTAGAAACCAATGGAAAGTATGTCACTTCGAGCGCTTCCATAGTTACATAATGTGATCCAATGATAACTTTTAGACCTCTATTATGTAATATGTGTTAATATACTATATATTAATTGACTTGATTTGCATAAAGCCATACATTTGAAGCGATGCATAAACAGTAACAATAATTTGGTGTCTATTTGTGGTGATCTCTTTGGTGATGACCAACTTTTGGACATTTGGATCAAAACAAACTCTTTTAACTCTTCCCTTAAGCTTACAATAACTGTTAATTTTCATGAGTTATTATGACATATAATACCTGTTTAGATATATTTAGGAATATTCGGTAGAACTCGTTATAGTGATTACAAATTGATTTATTTCATAACATTTAACTTTATATTATAGCAAAATTCTCTTTGATTTTACTCAAAACAAGTTTATATAACTTTTAATAAAAATTTGCTTTAATTTAATTAACAAAATTTTATAAATGATTACAATTAATAATTTGTATATAATATATGCTATAATAAGATTAATGATCACTGCCTTCCATATAAACACTTTATTCTTACGGTTCAGAAACCAAATACTTTTATTAAACACACAATTAATAAATTATATTTTTACATTATATTTGTTGTATTCAATTGCAGAAAAAAGTTGCAAAAATTGCGATAAAATGACATTTTATTAATTTTCACACAAAACAAAAGAATAATTTGAACATAAAATTGAAAGTTTTGCCATTTATTAAATGTAAAATAAGAGATGAATAATCTTTGCAATATATTTAATCTTTTTTAATAATCATTTAAATAGCATTTAAATTGATATCAATTGTTCACTCAATACAATCAAATACTAGTTATTTAAATTAGCTTTTAAATATAAAAATGTTAGTGGTCAAATGCTTTTACCATGATTAGTTTAATTGAGATAATTATGGGGTTAATTGTGTTCAAAAGCAAAATCACTGAATAAATGATTACGTGATTCTGTATTATTGGTGAATCACACGAATGGGAGTCCCATAGACTGAATGTACGCCCCCTTAGAGTCTGACACATGTGTGAGACGTAAACATAACACACAATCACTTGACATGTTTTGCCACTCAATCACACATCACTTCCACACCTGAAGACCATTCATGTCATAATACAGACAATACTCTTCGCCTCAAAATGGATATCAAACCCGAAAATATGCTTTCATTGAAAGGTATGTCTGAAACGAGTGATACATTGTTGAGACCAGTGATGACAGCAGTGATTGTCTTACAGTGGGTCGGGTTGTGTCCAAACAGACACCAATCAAGCACTTCATAGCTCTGGAGGAATACAACGCATTCATCGGAACCGATGACACACTGGAGACGCTAAACCTGTCGCCAAGTCTGGCCCAAGAGTGGCGTCTTTTACCCCAAAACTTCGGAAACGTATATTTGGGCGAAACGTTTGCTTTTGTCATAAACTGTACCAACGATTCGGTCAAAGAGATGGTCACCGATGTTGTGGTCCGAATCGACCTCCAGGTCGGCAATAAGGCCGCCATTTTGGGCGAAATGAAAGCATCGGTTTTGGACGCGAAGCAAAGTCTGAACGATATTATGAAACACGAGGTGAAAGATTTGGGACCTCATGTGTGAGTTGTTGGCACTTGATTTTGGCCACCGATTGATGCGCTCATTGATTGGTTAATTGTATTTTAGGCTCATTTGTACCATTGGTTTCTTCATGAACTCAACTGAACGGCAAAATTATCGCAAATTCTTTAAATTTCAAGTCTTGAAACCACTGGACGTGAAGACAAAGTTCTATAACGCAGAGGTTGTCAGCAATATATCACTTATTTTCATATATAATCACTAATAACTTGAATCCAATTCTTCAACTAATCATATATTTATATTATGGGATCCATTAAACGCACGGCTAATACCATAACACACTAATCACTTGATACTAAATCACTATTATATCAAACAATATAATGCATGTATTTATAGGACTCTACTGTAAGGATTGGTTGAGTAATAATGAGTTAATTGTGCTAATGATTTGTCTGTAAATGTATTGAACAGAGCGATGAAGTCTATTTGGAAGCACTGCTCCAGAACTTGACCACAACTCCCATGTGTTTGGAGAGAGTAATGTTAGAGCCGTCGCCTTATTTCGATGTCAAGCCTATGAACACAATTGTGACCGAAGAGGGCTCTGAGCGGTGGGTCTTCGGGAAAGTGAATCGATTCAATAGTCAGGAATGTCGGCAATACTTGTTTTGTTTGAC